TGCAGGCGGGCCACGCCGGCCGCTTGAGCCGCTTCCTGGGCGCGCTGCCCCCGGCCGAGCGCCTACGTGGCAGCGACCCGGTGCTGCGCGCGCGGGCCCTGGTGGCCTTCCAGAGGGGCGAGTACGCCGAGCTCTACCGGCTGCTCGAGAGCCGGCCCTTCCCCGCCGCCCACCACGCCTTCCTGCAGGACCTCTACCTGCGCGCGCGCTACCACGAGGCCGAGCGGGCCCGCGGCCGCGCGCTGGGCGCGGTGGACAAATACCGGCTGCGCAAGAAGTTCCCGCTGCCCAAGACCATCTGGGACGGCGAGGAGACCGTCTACTGCTTCAAGGAGCGCTCCCGCGCCGCGCTCAAGGCCTGCTACCGCGGCAACCGCTACCCGACGCCGGACGAGAAGCGCCGCCTGGCCACGCTCACCGGCCTCTCGCTCACGCAGGTCAGCAACTGGTTCAAGAACCGGCGGCAGCGCGACCGGACCGGGGCCGGCGGCGGCGCGCCCTGCAAGAGGTGAGGGGACCCGGGCTGCGCACGCCCTGCCTTCCCGGAGACCGGACGCCGCCTCTCCCGCCTTCGAGTCCGCGGTTCCCTGGCGCGCAGGCGGGCAGCCCTCTTAACGCTGCTGCGCTCGGGCTCCATCTCAAAGCCGTGTGCCCCGACCGCGGTGCCCCGGGGAGCAGGAGACGGCGGGGGCTGTGGGAAGGAGGGGGGCGCTGCCCCGCGGCGCCGGCTGCGGCCGGACCCCTCCCGGACCGTTACTCCTGCCCACCCCGCACCCCCTCGGGCCGGGACGGCGTGGTCCGTCGCCCGCCTTTGTTGTGAAACGTGAACCTTCCCCGGCTCTGGTTTCCCTGTAACCCAAGCCCTTCCCCTCCCACCCAGTGCGCCCGGCCTCTTGGCCTCTCGCGCTGCTCCCTTCTCTGACGCCGCGGGAGAGGGACTTGGGGAACCGAGCAGGTGCCGCCGCCCCTCCCGGCCACGCGCCTGCTGGTCCAGGGGACTCGCGACGGCGGGTGCCGGGCGCGAGCCGGGGCGGTGGGCAGCAGGGCCTCCTCCCTGCGCGGGACTTACAGGGTGTCATGGGGTCCTTGCGTGATTTCGGGAGGTTCTGTGACCCCTGAAAGAGACCTCAAATGCTTGGGGGGCAGGTGGGTGGCAGCGCTCGGCCTCTGCCCCAGGGAGGGCCGCCTTCCTAACAGCCCTTTCTCCACCAGCGAGTCTGATGGGAACCCTACTACTGAAGATGAGTCCAGCCGAAGCCCTGAGGACCTGGAGAGGGGGGTGGCCCCCGTGGCTGCTGAGGCCCCCGCCCAGAGCTCCATATTCCTGGCGGGGCCCACCCCTCCCGCTCCGTGCCCTGCCTCCTCCTCCATCCTGGTGAACGGGAGCTTCCTGGCTGCCAGCAGCTCCCCTGTGCTCCTCAATGGCAGCCCTGTCATCATCAACAGCTTGGCCCTGGGCGAGGCCTCCAGCTTGGGCCCCTTGCTGCTCACAGGCGGCGGGGCCGCTCCTCCGCCCCAGCCCAGCCCCCAGGGCACTAGCGAAGCCAAGACCTCCCTGGTCTTGGACCCCCAGACCGGCGAGGTTCGGCTGGAAGAGGCTCAGTCTGAGGCCCCTGAGACCAAAGGGGCCCAGGTGGCTGCTTCAGTGCCCACTGGAGAGGAGGTCTCGGGGCCCCTGCCCCAAGTGGTACCTGGCCCCCCACCTGCAGCCACCTTCTCTCTGCCCCCAGGACCAGTGCCCACGGTGGCTGCCCCCCAGGTGGTGCCACTGTCCCCACCCTCTGGGTATCCCACAGGCCTGGGTGCCACCTCCCCACTGTTGAACCTGCCCCAGGTGGTGCCCACCTCCCAGGTGGTGACCCTGCCCCAGGCCGTGGGGCCACTGCAGCTGTTGGCAGCTGGGCCAGGCAGCCCTGTGAAGGTGGCAGCTGCAGCGGGCCCTGCCAATGTGCACCTGATAAACTCTGGGGTAGGCGTGACTGCCCTACAGCTGCCTTCAGCCACTGCCCCAGGTACCCCTTCTTCCTCCCTCGGGCCTGGGGGCAGCTGGGGGCGGGGAGCAGCTTACCCTCGCACGGCCCTGCGCCCTCTGTGCCAGGCTTAGCTGCATTTGGCTTCACCCCTAGAGGCGCCGCTTGCTGCTTCCGGCCCTAACCTTCTCCTCTTCCCACAGGAAACTTCCTCCTGGCCAACCCCGTATCTGGCAGCCCCATTGTCACGGGTGTGGCAGTGCAGCAGGGGAAGATCATCCTCACTGCCACCTTCCCCACCAGCATGCTGGTCTCCCAGGTCCTGCCACCGGCCCCCGGCCTGCCCCTGCCCCTGAAGCCAGAGACGACCATCTCTGTGCCTGAAGGAGCCCTCCCGGTGGCCCCCAGCCCCGCGCTCCCGGAGGCCCACGCCTTGGGCACACTTTCTGCTCAGGTGCCGCCACCCCCCACCGTGGCCACCTCTGCGGCCAGCCTGCCCTTCTCCCCGGACTCCTCCAGTCTGCTGCCCAGCTTCCCCGCGCCGCCGGCAGAGGGTCTCATGCTGTCACCTGCCGCTGTGCCCATCTGGTCGGCAGGGCTAGAACTGAGCACAGGAGCGGAGGGGCTGCTAGATGCGGAAAAGGCGCTGGAGACGCAGGCCCCCCACACTGTGCTGAGGCTGCCGGGCCCGGACCCAGAGGGGCTGCTCCTGGGGGCCACTGCAGCGGCCGAGGTGGATGAGGGGCTGGAAGCAGAGGCCAAGGTTCTGACCCAGCTGCAGTCGGTGCCTGTAGAGGAGCCCTTGGAACTGTGACCAGCTGGCCTCACTCGGGCCTCTCCTGACAATGGTGCTCAAGATACAGGGGCAGGATGGGGGAGAAGGGATCTTCTCAGAAAGACAGTTGTCATGACCTGAGGGTCCTCCACACACTACATCCCTCCAGCCAAGGTCTGGAGGTGCCGGGGGACTTGGCCGGTCTGCTCTCTGTCTGGGGCCCTGTCCCGCTCTGGACAGGAGGACTCCTGTACAGCCCTCTCCCTGCCCTGCCATCCACAAGGGGGACCCTGAGGGTCCTGACCCAGGGGCTCTGCCCTCCTCCACCCGGTACTAGCCGTGAGCTGAAGCCCTGCCAGGTGGCTGGATTGCCACCCCCACGTGCGTGCTCCCTCACTCCTAACACTCTTCATAGCTCTGCTGATACCAGTATGCCCGGAACTGCCGGGGGTCTCACGGTGGAGAAGGCAGTCTTGGGCCCAGAGACTGCGACCTCCCTGGCTCATCCTTTGGAGGAGGGTGAGGACTTTCCTTGCTCCCCTGGACTTAAGCCCTCGCGGTCACCTCCAGCCCCAGACCAAAGATTCCCTCATTCGTGGGGCAACTCTGATCCCTGTGTCTAGTTTGTATCCTAAATCTCTATTTTTCTAGGACATGTTATGCCTCCATTTCAATTAAAGGTAACAGACGACAGAACCGCTGGGAGTGCGGCTTTCTTTGCAGAGGGTTTGCCTGAAGGAAAACGGAGGATGTAGAAGCCCCGTTTGCCATGGTGGCTTCTGGCCACTGCTTCCTGAGGGGACAGGGACCTGTGTGCCTGGGCCTTACAGGCAGTGAGGTTTATTTCAAACTGCAGACCTAGGCTGGTTTGGGGAGGAAGGATGCCCCTGGGTGAGGGGACAGAGAGAGAGCCTGTCCTGTCACTCCTGCTGGTAACAACGGTTCCACTTTATTTTTTTAAAAAACAATAAATAGTCTTTAAATAGAACTGGGAGGGAGGAGGGAGGTGCGAATGAAGACCAGTTCATCTGGAGGGAAAGGAGGGGCGCAGGGGAGGCCCTGCTCTCCAACTTCCCCTGCTGCATTTCATCCAGGGTTCCCCCGCCCACCCGAGGCTCCTCTGCGACTGCAGGGTGGGGAGGGCAGTGGCCTTACATGCGCAAGGCAAAGCACAAATACATAGAACTGGCCCTGGCCCTGGGAACTGGCCAGGGCCCCACAACAAAGGGCTGGGGCTGGGGTGGGGACAACCTCACCAACGCGGGCTCCTGGTTTCAAACAAAGCTGCAGGAGCTGCGCGGGGCAACTACCCTCTCAGTCACGCTGAGGGGGCGGGGGCGGGGCTGGGTCCCGGCAAGCTCTCGATTTCTCCGCCAGCAGCTGGTAGAAGGGCTTGGGGGTCCCCCAGTCTTCGTCCTCGCTGTCGGAGCTGCCCTGCTTCACGATGCGGTTGTGCTGGCGGCTGAACCTGCGGGCCTTGATGCTGTGGGGAGATGAGGCCAGACAGGACGCTTCCTCATTCACCGCCCCCATCTCCGTCCCACCCCAACCCTTTGGCCTCGGCACCAGCCAGGTCCCGGCCCAAGGGGGAGGCCAGAGTTTCAGCCCACCTGGGCTAACCTAGGGCCTCCCAAGTCCTGCTCTCTAAGACTTTTGGACTCAGCCAGGGGGCCTCTGCTGGAGCCCATATTCCTGGGATGAGGCTGGCAATTGTGACACACGCGTGTTTCAGGTGCCGCTTTAGGCAGGCACCAGCCCCCTGGAGTTGGTGGCGAGGACCGAGGGCGTCAGGATCAGAGCGGGGCAGGAAGCCAAGCATCCGGAAAGTAAGGCTATGCTCTGAGGCACTAACTCCATGTGGCAGAGAAGGCAAAAGAAACAGGGAAAAGGGTCCAAGTCCCCACGGAGCTGTTGCTCCTGAGCTTCAAGGTGCCACCTCTCCACCGACATCACTCCCAAGTCTTTCATAAAAGTTTGACCACAAGCCCGGTGTAGCAGGGCACCCCTGTAATCCCAGCATCCAGGAGGCCGAGGCAGGAAGATTGCTGTGAATGTGAGGCCAGCCTGGGCTCCATAGTGAGATCAAGGCCAGCTTGAGCTACAGAGTAAGACCCTGTCTCAATTTTTAAAAAAAGACAAACAAATCCTCAGCCTGGTAAACTTGCAACCCATTTCCAACACCGTGAGGCACAAAGTTGTGAATATGAGGAGTCAGTTAAGGGTCGGAGTGGCCCCTCAGCCCCCAACCATGCTGGCTGGGGAGGGGCCTTCTCACCAGTATGGTTTCCGCTCCTTCTGGGTCATCACCCGCCACAGCTGGGCCAGCTCCTTGGTGGCTGCTGTGGACGCAGTACCAGGGCAGGCTCTGGGACAGGAAGGAGGGGGAAAGGAGGTCAGGGGCGGCCTGCAGGTATACTGGCTTGGGTGGGGGCCAGTGATAGGACCATACGAGGGTTCCTGTCTTCATGCCTGCTGCCTGGCAAGGCCTCCAGAGGCAAGGGTCTAAGAAGGAAGTGCACTTTAGTTTATCTTTGTTTGTTTGTTTTGTCTTTTTGAGACAGGGTCTCCCTGTGCAGTTCGGCTGGCCTTGAGCTTACTTTGTAGCCCAGGCTGTTCTTGAACTCGCAACGATCCTCCTGCCTCAGCCTCCTGAGTGCTAGGATTACAGGCATGGGCCACCACTCCAAGCAGGAAGTACACTTTAAATGGTTGCTCTTAAGGGAGTGCACAGGGTCGCAAGGGAGTGCAGGGGTCCTGTAGCCACTGCTCCCCCAACCCACTGGCACCTGATCTTCCTGGGAAGGAACCAGCTGTCATGTGCTGGTTCCTTGGCTTTGGTCCTGCAGTGACTGGGTCAGGGTTGGGCCCCTGATCTATCAGAACTGATTCTAGGAGTCAGGCGTGGTGGCGCACCCCTGTAATCCCAGTACTTGGGAGGCTGAGGCAGGAGGATGGTTGCGAGCTCGAGACCAGCTTGGGCTACAAAGTGAGCTCAAGGCCAGCCTGAACTGCATAGTGAGACCCTGTCTCAAAAAGACAAAAAAAAAAAAAAAGAATTAATTCTGGGAATCTTTATTTGAAACTTTAGAGACAAGAGCCGTCCTTCCCTGGAAGGCTGCTAGAGTAGCAGACAGAACCTGAGCCAGGAGCTCCTGGGACCACTGTGCCACCAACATGCTGGAGGACGAAGCCCGCCCAGGAGAGAGGGGCAGAGATCCCAGGCAGCAGTGTTCCAGCCTTGCGTCTGAAGGCAAGTACACCGCCTCTCTGCTTTGAGTTATCTAAGCCTGTTAATTTCCTTTTCTGTCAACTCTGGGGTTTGAGTCGGGTTGCCTTGTACACAGTAGAAGCCACTGCTGTACAGCAGCTGGGGAGACCAGATGGTCTAGGGGTTCAGACAATGAAGGTAGGGTAGGGCCCTATGAGGGGCCACTGACGACTCCCACCCACCGGATATACGGCTTCCGGTTCATCCTGCAGAACATGATGAAGCCGTTGACACACTTCTTCTTCACCTGCGGTGGGCAGGGGACTTTCTTGCTCTCCTTGGGCTTCTCAGGGCCCTTGCTGGCCCGGCCCTTCCTGCCCTTCCTCCCAGAGGCAGACAGGATGGAGGACCGCTGGGTGGGGCTCCACGTGTAGTCGTCATCCTCCTCCTCCTCCTCCTCCTCGTCACTGGAGGGCTGGGAGCCCTCGGGGTCGGCCTGTGTCCCGAGAGGCACAGAGGTGAGCGAGGGCAGGCGAGGCCCATCCACCCTCGGAGGTGGCCGTCCCTCTCACGTCCCTCTCACCTCTTCCTGTTCCGACAGGGAGTCCGTGTCAGTGTCAGAGCTGGAGCTAGAGGGTGCCTTGTTGGTGGCACTCAGCGAGAGGTAGCAGTGGTCCAAGGAGACTGAGGACTGGCACAGGCTGTAGAAGTCAGGGGGGACCTCGGGGGCTCCAGAGAGGGCATCCTGGGCCAAATGAAAGAAAGATGGGGGCATCTTCCCACGCACCGATTTTCCAGGGCATAACTTGAATGTTAGAAACCCTTATTCCTCTTCACAGCCCTTGGGCCATGGAAGCAAATGTCCTAAGTTCCTACAGCGAGCAGAGGGGCTGGATGGGCCCCAGCCATGGCCTTCTGTTCTGGTGCAGGAGCTCCTCAGCCCCGCGGTTCCCTGTCGCTCAGCATGTGCGGCACCCTGGACAAGTCTTAACTTCCCTGAGCATCGATTTCATCTATGAGACAGTGGTCGCAATACAGGCCTTGTGGGTCCGAGAAACACATCCTGTAGCACTGGCGTTTACTAAGAGCTCTTCTGATAGCGTCTGTGTTTGTTTCCACTGCCAATTCAGCTACTCATGGAGGCAACACTAGAGGAAAAAGGGGCTGGAGCTGGGCCTGCCTCTCAGACACTGGGCTCCTGAAGCGTGCAGGGATGCACGGTCAGCCAAGCCCCGGCATGAGGCAATCTTGGCTTTGGTCTCTATTCTGACTGAGGACTCTCGGGGTCTCTCTCCTAATTTTAGTGTCTGCGTGTATAAAATGAGGCCACGAGGACCCTGGTCTATGGAGCAGCTATACCATCGTGCAGGCCCTGGTGGCTGCACTGAGTGTTCAGGGAGGGCAGCGAGTGTAGGGGGACGAGGAGGAGCAGAGGCAGGAGCAGACAGAGAATGGCATGGCCGGGGCCCTAAGGTTGAGGGCAGTCACACACGAAGAGGGTGTGGGTGGCCAGAGCCTACCTTCTCCTGGGGAGCCATAAGCATGCAGGCAGAAGGTGGAGACTCGGGATCTAAGAGCACCTCTTCAAAGAGACCTGTGGGGATCAGAGGGCTGCTGAAAAGAAAATACTTTCCAGCCTGAGCTTCACCCTGCAGGCTGGGGTCTCCCACTCCAAGTCCCCTCACAAGCCAGCTCCCTTGGAGCGCCTCCAGCCCCCGGCAGAGTGTGGGGCTCTCTGCTTCAGGCTCCTGGAACCTTGCCCTTGCCACACAGTCTGTAAACGCCCCTGTGCTGGGCCATCACTCCCGGAGTCAGGGCCTGGGCAGACTCACCTCTGGGCTTCCCGCGCGGCCCGCACAGGCCTGAGCACTTGGTAGCATGACTTGTAAATGAGCTAAGTGTCTGGTCCTGGCCTGGAGGCTCACCTTGGGTCAGAAACATAGTGTCATCCTCCAAGATCTGTTCTGGCAGCAGTTTGCTCGGGGAGCTGAAGAGGGAAGGGCTGAGTCCTAGGATCGTGCCTGGGTGGCCTGTTGCACTCCAGGTAGGGACCTGGGGAGGTGGTAAGACCAGCAGATTCTCTGAAAAGGAAACAGAGGACTCAGGAGTACGGTCAGAGATTGTCCCCTTCCCCGGCACAGCAACTGGCAGACATAGGAAAAGTGACTGTCGCTTTTTCATTTGGAATTCCAGAACTTCATTTCCTGGTAGAGGAAATTAAAAGGTTATGATGCTTACTGCTATGTCAGGGATAGCACCAAAAAACAAAAAAAGAATTTTTTGTGAATAATGTGCCAGATCCAACAGATGGACTGTGGCTACCTGCAGCTCTGGGGTAAGAAAGGTTCTGAGGTAGCGCCTGGGCTCAAGGAATCAAAGTGATCATTGTTTAGCAATGTCTATAACTGACGGTGGCGTGACAGTACATTTGCTATCCCTGTGCTTCGCAGATCCCAGTTTCTTCTCCGCCAGAGGAGTCTTCAGAAAGAAGCTGAAAGAAGCCCACAGCCTACAAGGAGGAGAGACAGTTTCAGTCACCTTGGGCGCTCCCCTCCGGGATACCGACAGGAAGCCAAGGGTCAGCATCTGGGACTTCCTTGTCCACCTCCTCACTGGAATCATAGAAGACGATCTGCTGCCTGTAAGAGGTAGAATCAAGAGGCAGACAAAGAGGCCCGGCCCAGGGGCGGCTGTGTGATCGCTGTGGGTGTCTCGTGGCCAAATGTGTCCTGGCTTCGGGGAGCTCACTTGACTGAGGCTCCTGACCTCAAGAAGCTTCACATCTTTCGAGGAGAGATGAGCGGATAAGCAGAGGCCGGTGATGAGTTTGGGGGTGCCTGTGATGGAGGGCTTCTGGGACTGGGGGGCAAATGGGGAAGGGCACAGTGAGCTCAGCCCGTAGGATGGATAGCTCCTCAGGTGGACCAGGGAGAGGGCTGTGCAGGAAGAGGGCCAGAGTGAAAAGCTCACAGGGTGAGGGAACAGCTCATGGGGGAACTGGGAATATTTCACACTGCTAAGTATTTAAGATTCATGGGTTAAGGGTACGAGAGAGGCTGACATGGTGAGGTGCGGCCACAGAATATCTCTCTGCCAATAAGACCTGGGCACAAAGAAAGGCTTTGGGTCACAACTGACACGGTCAAGGACTGTGTGTCAGAAGTCACTCAGTCAAGTGGGAAAAGGCCAGAAGAGGCAGGAGCCAGGCAGCCCAGCGTGGAGGCTGCGACCACGGTTCGCGAGATGTGAGTCAGGCTTTCCTGTGTGTGCGCCGGCGGAGGACAGACCTGGCCTCGTGCCTTGGGACCCCGCAACCGCGCCAGACCACACGCTTCAGCCTCACCCACCAGCGCCCTTGGGGTTCCCCTACCTGGGATAGAACGGTGTCTCACTGAGGAAATAGGTCATTCCATCCCCGCTCTCATCCTCAAAGGCAGGATCAAGCTTGTCATCCTGGAGACCATTTGTACCACAGAAGCCTAGGGGTAAATCAGGGCAACCACCCCTGTGTGTCGGGCTCAGGGGACGGAGAGGTGCCGGGTTCTGCCACCCAGCTTTCCCCCAACCTAGCCAACTCCTCAGGCTTCAGGGGCTCTGTGTGAGGCTGGGGTACCCGGTCACACCCGCATTTCTTAAAGCCCACCTCCTCATCAAGAGCTGTAATGATGATAAAATCTTAAAGTGGAACAAAGACAATGATAGCAAACCAATATCCAGCGCTTACTTTGACCAGCCCTGCTGTTATTAACCCGTAGGTAAACAGCGGCAGAGAGATCAGTGTGACTTGTGGAGGTCACACAGCTGGCAGAAAGATCCATGAAGCCCCTCCTGAGCCCCAGGCTGGGTCAGATACACCTGCTGGGGCCCCCAGGACGTCAGGATCACTTCCGACAACCGGCATCTCCTAACACGGGAGACTCCTTCACTGCACTGTGAACTTGGTCACTTAAGGTGTCACAGGCAACCTGCACGTGGGCTGGCCCAGGGGAGGGGGTCAAAGAATAGGGGCTGATGGACAAGCAGAGGAGCCGGTTGCCCAGCGTGTTGAAGCCACTGGGAGGCAGGACCTTGAATTCACGCCGCCGCCTCCTGCCCCGCGTCTGCTAGACGCGTCATTGCTCCTTCCCAGCAGCTGCAGTGACAAGGGGGTGACGAGAGAAGGGCTGGCTGCTGGAAGGGAAGCCTGACAAGGAGGGCCTGCCTTATTCCCCGTTCTAAACCTAAGGCTGACACAGGAGGTGACCTGGATTTTGTCCTTTCCTTTGACCCACGACAGAGCCTAGGAAGAAATCTGGGAGCGGGGTCATTCTCCGGGAAGTGACAAGTAGTGTCTGCCCTGTCCACTGTTGTACTCCCAGCTACTAGGGCTGTGTGTGGCTCACAGCAGATGCCTGGAAAACAGCACTGAGGAAAAGACTAAATTCATTGTGAAGAAAGAGACCAACTTGTGAGGTGCTCAAAGTCGATGTTGTGGGCCATATCCAACAACAACGTCAGCTGGGCTCCTGCTTCTCCAGCTCCATTTCCTTCTTGAGACGAGGACAGCGCAGGCTTCCGGGGATCGCAGGCATCAGGGCACCTTGGAGGGGTGACGGTCCTTCCCATGTTCTCTTCTTTCTGGTCTGAGGGTGTCACCAGCTTCTTAGGCGAGTCCAGTGCCAGAAAGCGGCGAGACTTCTGGGGCCAGGTCTGGGGTTCTGACAGAGCAGAGGGACAGGTGTCACATGTGCCGCTGGCGGGGCCTCCTGTGCTCTGTGCAGATGCTGTCAAAACTTTCTCTGAGCCAGCTGTAGTGGGGCACGCCTGTAACCCTAGCCCTAGGGAGGCTGAGGCAGAGGACCACCACGAGCTCAAGGCCAGCCTGAACTACATAGCAAGACCCTGTCTCAAAAAAACAAAGCAAAACTTTCTCTGGCCTGGTCACTCCCCACCCTTTTGGGCATGCCCAGATCCTCAAGTAGAGGTCATTTACTCCAACCTCTGTCCACACACTTCCTGAGCCCTAACAAACAAAATGTGCAGTTGATCTGATGTTCCTTCCAAAACCAATGCCACCTGATGTTCTGGATGTGACGCATGGACAGGAATTTTTTTCAGACCACTCCACGTGTTTCAGATGTGTAGCCAGAGTTGGAAATCAATCATTAGGTCCCATTTTGCAGATGTGGAAACTGAGGCTACACAGGGGAAGAGCAGTGAGTGGGTAGTAAAGCTGGAGTGGGATGGAGGACTCCCCACGTGGGTCTTTCTATCATCACACACTCCTGCTGCCCTGGCCCAGGAATGAGGACAGACCGCACGAACGATAAACAACAAGAGCAGCATCCATTCCTGGGGCCTGCCCAGTGCCTGTTGTACGCGCTGCTTCAGCAGAGTGTGTGCAGCCTTTCCACGGCCAGAGCCCAGCCCGTGGTAGGCACTGCACTTCCCAGTGAGGAGCCAGAGGCTCAGAGAACGGCCCTTTCAGGGCCCCAGCACTCCTGCTAGGAGGAGTGAGGAGCAGACCCCAAGGTGACAGCCTCCCTGGGCAAGGAGCCCTGCTTCCATTCGGTCCTGCTTTCTGCTCAGCCTCCACTGAAGGCTTGTACCTGCTGCTTCTTGGGTCAGCTTCTTCTTCCGAGGTTTCTCACAGGTCCCCCAAAGGTGGGAGTTCTGAGAGCATGGAGAACTGGAGGGGGTGGAGTGTCTCCACCTGACTGGGCCTGCGGCTGGGTTCCAGCCCAATCCTGGCGGGATGGAAGAGAAGGTCAGAGCCCCCAAACCCAACCATCTTCATCCATCACACCTCCTGCCCGCCAGACAGCACCCACAGCCTCCAGCTGGGCGAGTTCCCAGGCTGACCCTGCTCCTCAGGGCGACCGTACAAATGTGGAGACTGATATGGGAAGAAGTCGGACTCGCCTGTGGTTGCACAGCCAGGAGGCAGAAGTACAGTGTGAAAACTCAGGGTGCCCAGAGTGAGCCTGGGCCTTGGCAAAGAGCGTGAGCGGACCCTTCCTTCCCCGGTGCTTGGCCCTCTCCTCCGCTCCACACCTGCTCCTCCTTCCAACCTCCTCAACCCAGTGAGGGTGCCACCCCCAGCGCCGGGGCCCTGCTAAGCCTCGCCCTCGAGTATACCCACCTCTGTGCACATTCTCAGCTCTGGTGCTAGCTTAGGCCTCACTGTGTTTTGTCTAGAGACGCTCCTAAAAGGATTTTCTCATCTTGATTCCAGTTTCTCCCTCAATAACCAGTCCTCTACACTAGATGTCAGGGACCTCGTTCTAAAACAAACAAACAAAGCCCCACACCCCCGCAACAAAAAACAAAGTCTAATCATAACTTTCCCTTGCTTCAAATCCTTCAGTAAGGGCAGAGGATGTAGCTCAGTGGTACAGATCTTGCCTCATCAGGGCGAGGCCCTGGGCTCCATCACCCCAGCACCATTTAAAAGTACATCTATTCTGTGCGTCCTTCAGTAAATCTCATCGTCCTCACCTCCCTCCACAGCTGTGCGTCAGAAGCCCTTCAGAACCTCCTTCCTACCAAACCCGTGCAGCCGCATCTGCCGTCCTGCCTGTGCATTTTATGTTCTAGTGACGGTGACGGCCCTGGGCACCTGCGGTACAGCTTTGGGTGGCTGTGCACAGGCACCATCTTACTTTTTTTTTTTTGTCTTTTTGAGACAGGGTCTCGCTATGCAGTTCAGGCCGGCCTTGAGCTCACTTTGTAGCCCAGGCTGGTCTCGACCTCACAACGATCCTCCTGCCTCAGCCTCCCGAGTGCTGGGATTACAGGCATGCACCACCATCTTACATTTCCTTAAGTGGATTAACGCCTTAATTCCTGTGACAAACACAGTTGCATTTTACAGATGATGGACCCAAAGTACATGGAGACTAAGGTCACCAAGATGCATCTGAATCAGAGTCCGGCTCAGGAGCCTGCACAAGTCATCTCAGTGCTACCGTGTCCCTCCACTCAATGCGCGTGGCTGGGCTGTCCCCAGACACTGCGCACGCTCTGGCTGCTCTTGCTTGGGATATTCCTTTGATCTGCCGGGGTCCTCCCTTTTCCTAGTGTCCTTGAAGCGCCACCCCCACCCCCCAAGCATCCTGCGTGCCTTTCTGATGTTTCCCATCTGCCAGGCCGTGAATCCTGGGGGCAGAGAGGAGAGCTGGACTCATCTAAGCCACAGGGATTTGGCTCTTAAGAGGCACCAGGAAATGCTGGCTGAACTGCTTACCCGCAAGTCCACCTTCCTCATTGCTGAGGTAGAATTTGAGCAAGGCCTTGACCACATCGATGGCTCTCTGGAGGTACTGTATGTAGTGCAGGACGTGCAGCAGAATCTCCTTCTGCCTCCAAAAGAAAGACTGATGAGCCAAGGAGCCAGGGCTCAGGACTGGTCCCTACCCACCCACTTGCTGTTCGGAGAGCTGTTCCTATTGTTTTGTTTTGAAACACTGGGAATTGAGTCCAGAGAGCCTTGAGCTACATCCACAGCTCTTTTTATTTTTTGAGACAGGATTTCACTAGGTTGTCCAGGCTGGCCTTAAACTTACAATCCTCCTGCCTCAGCCTCCTGAGTAGCTGGGATTACAGGTGTGTACCGCTATACCCAGTCCTATTCTTCTGTTAAGCCCGCACTGTGCCCCAGGGAGACACAGGGTACAGCTGAGGAAACTGAGTCTCAGTGCGGTCAAGGGGATGTGGAGAGTGAATCCGGTTAGCCTGCTTTCTGGTCTGGTTTTTTGGGACACATTGCTCAGCTTCTGACCACCAGCCCTTTGCTCATGCTGTATTTCCTGTCTGCAAAGCCCTCCTCCTCTCCCCAGAAGTTCCCGCCCACTGCCTCTTTTTCTTCTGAGTCTCCGCACAGCAGTCTCCTCTCCCAGCACTGTGCACCTCCCTGACCTGTCGCACCTACACTGGCTCAGCTGCCCTCCTCAGTGCTCTGCGCCTCTCCCCAAGGCACTTGCTACACTGTTTTATAATCATCCCTTGATGTGCTGTTCTCGCCACTGACTCTACACTAGTTGGTGGTGAGCCTGTGTCTAGCTGAGTTCTGTACACCAGACACACAGAATGGAGAGGTTGCTCAGCCAGGGACCGCAGAAGGAATGGATGTCCCCACAGCACTCAGCAGCATCCTCCTGCCCAGCGGGTGGAATCTCTAACACCAACCAGTGAATACCTCCTGAGCTGCTGTTGGAGACACAAAGCTACAAAGGAGTACTGCGTGTGAAGGGCCAGGTACGTTGCGGCAAACTAGATATGCTTCATTTGCCACCACAGACTTTACAGTCTAGGGAGATCCTATTCACCTCACAACTCACTCAAAATTATTGACTGCAATAAGCACTGTGAATAAAACTGCACAGCAACAGGAGCCGAGCATATAGCTCAGTGGCACAAGCACCTGCCTGGCAAGCACAAGGTCCTGAGTTCAATTCCTGGTACAAAAAAAAGATTCCAGAATTAGGCCTCTCTGAAGGAGCAGCATTTAAACCAAGGCCTATGAGTGCAAGGAATCAGCCAGGTGAAAAGGTGAGGGAAAAACACTAGTAAATATTTTGTAAATCGTAGTAGTAATAATCTTCCAACTGCAAGCCAGGAAACAGGGTCTTATGAGGGATCTTAGGTGAAACTTCTGTAAAATATAACGCAGACAGATGCTCACTGAAATGACGGAGCATGAGCTACAGAAGCTATAATCTAACTATGTGATCTAAGAAATACATATGACATAGGCAAAAGAACACAAGTTCCGAAGGGCCTGGACCCTATCTATAGTTTATGACTACACATCAAGAACAGGTCTTTTCAGTTACTTTGCCAGGCCTTGGTTTTCTCATCTGTACTATGGGAATGAGGATATTTGCTTAGGCTCAGAGGATTATTGTTAGGACTAAACAAATGACTGTGTGCGAAACTGCCTAGCAGAGTTCACCTCATACACTACTTATCTAATAAATGCTTAGCTGAATGCAGGCATTGGGGTGCACACCTGTAATTCCAGCACTCTGGGAAGCTGAGGCACAAGGGTTATAAGTCCAAACTCAGCCTGGGCAACTTAGTATGACATGATTTTAAAATAGAAAATAAAAATAGGCTGGGGATGTAGCACAGTGTGAAGGCCCAGGAGTCAATCCCCCATACTGAAAAAAAAAAGCTTAGTCAGTCTTTGAATGAGATTGCTTTTATCAGGTTCTCAAGGGATTAAATAAGAAAAAATATAACTAGAATATCATCTTACTGCAGAAAGAATGGCTATCATCAAGAAATCAAAGAACAACAAATGCTGGTAAGGCTATGGGGCAAAAGGAACTCTTCTACATTGTTGGTGGGAATGTAACCTAGAACAACCACTATGAAGATCAGTATGGAGATTCCTCACAAAGCTAAAACTAAAATTCCATTCAACCCAGCTACTCCTCTTCTAAGAATCTTCCCAAAAGAGTTAAAGTTACCATAGTACATTGATGAATGCACACTCATGTTTACAGCAACACAACTCATAACAGTGAAATCTTGGAAACAGTCAACAGAGGAGTGGATAAGGAACATGTGGTATTTATACACCATGGAGTGCTACTCTGCCATAAAGAAGGATAAACTTGAGGTATTTGTAAATGGATGTACCTCAAGACCATGATGTTAAGTGAAAGAAATAAGATACACAAGTTTAGCCAGGCGTAGTGGCGCACGTCTGTAATCCCAACACTCGGGAGGCTGAGGCAGGAGGATCATTGTGAGTTCGAGGCCAGCCTGGGCTACAAAGTGAGCTCAAGGCCAGCCTGAACTTCATAGTGAGACCTTGTCTCAAAAAAAGACAACAATAAAAAAAAGATACACAAGTTTAAATATTGTATGTTTTCTCTTATATGTGAAACCCAAGATATAAATAAAGAACAAAATAAAGAATGAATCACAGAAAGCAGGGAGATCTTTTTCAAATGGGAGGGGAACAAGAGCTGGAGGAAGGTAAAGGAAGGAAGGGAAAAGAGATCAAAAATAAGAAAGAAGAAAATGGAAATGGAGCTTTCTCTAATGGGAAGTTGGAGGGAGCAGGGAAGGATGGGAGAGGAAGGGGACCAAAAAGAATTAAGATGTATTATATACAGGTACAAACTCCACACACTAAATTTAATCATTATGTACTACAAACATGTAGTAATAAAACATTTTAATTAAAAAAAGAAAAAATATCTGGGTGTGGTGGCACATGCCTGTGATCCCAGCACTTGGGAAGCTGAGGCAAGAGGATCTCTGTGAGTTCAAGGCCAGCCTGAACTACATAGTGAGATCCTGTCTCAAAAAAGAAAGAGAAAGAGAGAGAGACAGAGAGAGAGAGAGAGAAAGGGAAGCAGGGATGGAGGGAGGGAGGGAAGAAGGAAGAAAGGAAGGAAGGAAGGAAGGAAGGAAGGAAGAATATAGTTAGAGCATAAATTTTTTCAAGTGTAGATTCTGCCATTTTTAGTTTAGTATTTCTAACACCAGGCCTGGCACATGGCTGGCATGCACTAAGATGAGTTCTTTGTAACGGTGACATAATATGTAAATGTTATCTATTAAGACTAGATTAAAGATTTTTCACAGAAGGCAACTGGGCATTATTCTTGTCTTCAGAATAGAGGTTTAGTTCTTGACACTCTGGGAAGACCAGTTGGCAGCTACACCTAAGGCCCAAATCTCAAAGACCTTCTACAGGTAAAAAAGATGGATCTTATAGCCATCTGAACATAGGGAATTCATATAATCATTCAACAAACATCTACTGAGCGCTGAGTAACAGAGTTGCTGATGGGCTCAGGCCTTTGGAATGAGACACTAATATCTTCCTCGTTTTCTCACTTACTTCCATTGAGTGGTTCTGTGTCTCTGGGCAACATGACCCCTCTGCCCTTCGATTTCCTTAAACCAAAAAATCACCCTACTCATACATATGTCACAACCCTTGTGGGAAGTTGAAATGAGAAATTATGCCTATGATGCTTAGTGTTCAAGGTCTGACACTTGGAGCCCTCGATAAGTTGGGAGCAATGTTTATTGTTATCTGGGCCCTGTGGGTGCTGGGAATGGAGATATGGCAGACTTCTCCACCTAAAGGGAATCAGAAGCCAGGCACTGTGGTGTACACCTGTAATCCCAGCTACTGGGAAGGCTGAGGCAGGAGGATCTGTCAGTTCAAGGCTAGGGGCCAGGGGTATAGCTCAGCTACTTAAGCGCTTGCCTGGCAAGCCTGAGGTCATGAGTTCAATTCCTGGTACCAAAGACAAAAACAAAAACAAAACAAAACAAAAAAACAAGGCCAGCTGAACTACATAGCAAAACCCTATCTCAAAAAGATGACTAAAAAAACCCATATAAACAAACAAACAAAAAATACACTTCTGGTCACACTAGGCCCACCCAGATACTCCAGAGGAATTACCTCATCTCAAGATCCTTAACTCACTGACATCTGAAAGTCCCTTTGCCGTATAAGGCAACATATTTATAGGTGCTGGGAACTAATATGTGGACATCTTTGGAATTGGGATGTGGACTGTTTGAGGAGTTTTTCCTCTGTCCTCAAATATCTGCATATTTAATGTGATAGGTGTGATAGGTACTTGGGAAGCTAACAATGGTAAGGGCACGGTCCCCTGCCTTTGAGAATGACAGTCAGATCAAGGGTCAGGCAGCATTTTGTAGCAGACCTGATGCCACACACCACATCCCTTAGAATTTGCCCCAGGTCTCGCCTTCATTTTTTTCCTTTTCTTGCTTTCATACTGAAAACTGAATTCAGGGCCTCTGTACTGAGCTACATCCACAGCCCTTTTTATTTTTTATTTTTTTATTTTTTTTTGGTACTGGGAATTGAACTCAGGACCTTGTGCTTGCCAGGCAGGCGCTTATTCTCTACAGCCCTTTCTTTCTTTCTTTCTTTTTCTTTCTTTCTTTCTTTCTTTCTTTCTTTCTTTCTTTCTTTCTTTCTTTCTTTCTTTCTTTCTTTCCTTCCTTCCTTCCTTCCTTCCTTCCTTCCTTCCTTCTTCCTTTCTGAGACAGGGTCTTGCTATGTAGTTTTGGCTGGTCTTAAACTCACTATGTAGCCCAGGCTGACCTTGAACTCTCAGCAATCCTCCTGCCTCAGCCTCCCAAGTGTGGCATCACAGCTGGCTCTATGTTTTTTTTGAGACAGGGCCTGGCTATGCATTCCAGGCTGGCCTTGATCTCACTATCGAGACCAGGCTGGGCTCAAGCTCTAAGTGATCCCCCTGCCTCAGCCTCTTGAGTGTTGGTATTCCAGGTGTGCCACGATGCAAAGCACAAGGGTCTTTGTAAGAAGGAGGAGGGTCAAAGGGAGAGAGGGCAGAGTGACAACAGAAACAGTAGGAGACAAGAGAAATTTGAAGATTCTGGGTTGCTTGCTTTGAATGGGTCATCAGGAGCCAAGGAGTGTAGTCCGTCAACCTCTAAGAGCTGGCAAAGGGAAAGGCAACAGATCCTCTCATGGACACAACCAGCCCTGCTGACACCTTGACTCTAGACCAGCAAACCTGATTTGGGACATCTGACCTCTAGAATTATAAAAGAATAAAGCTGTGCCATTAAAGCCGCTAAGTTTGTGGTGATTTGTTATAGCATGCCTAGGAAACTCATTCAAATACCTGCTATAGAGAAATATTTAGGAGGAAAATTCTACATGACATGGTTGGTGATGGATGGAATGTGGTGATCAGAGGAATGCCCATCTTAGGGTCAGGCAAATCTCTCGAGAGACACCCACTCCTCTGAGCCTATTTATTTTTTATTTTTTTTGAGACAGACTCTCGCTATGCAGTTCAGAGTGGTCTTGAGCTCACTCTGTAGCCCAGGCTGGCCTCAAACTTGCAACGATCCTCCTGCCTCAGCCTCCTGAGTGCTGGGAATACAGGCGTGCGCCACCATGCCCAGCATCTGAGCTTCTCTAAATCAGGTCAAATATTCCAGGGGGCACCAGATATCCCTGTGTTCAAATTCACATCTTCCTGATCGATTCTAAATTCCCAGGGAAGGACTGGGTCTCAGATTTCTTTGCCTCCTTTGTGACAATCAGAACAGATTCTGGCATCCAAAAATCTCCCCACAAAGGGCCAATGAAAGAGTGAGTAAATGAGAGACCCTGTCTCAAAAAGACCAAAAAACCAAAAAAAAAGGTTGAGTAAATGAATTGAATGAGTGGAAATATAGCAAGAAATCATCTCACCAACCCTTCAAGGTCTGGGTCTCACATTAAGCTGTTCCCACTGCGAGCAAGGTGTGAGCCTGGCACTGTGTGCACTTACTGAGAACCCTACTGGGATACCCAGAGAAACCTGATCTGTTCCTACCTCGGGTGGAAACCACAGGTCCCAAAAGCAGGGGCCTCAGGAGGAAACTGACATTTATTCAGGGCATGCTATGCGCTAGGCCTGTCAGAGCTATAATGTCATTTTGGCCTCACCATATCTCTGAGGAGCAGGAATTATTTTTCCTTATTTTACACTCAGGAATCCTGAGGCTTAGAGACGTTGGGTAGCCCGAGGAAACGGTCCAGAGACCCGTAGCTGTGAAGCCAGAGGGCACAAGCCTGGGGCTGTTTGACGTCTATTCTTCCCTCCCAGCTCCCCCGGCCTCTTCTGTGCAAAAGAACAACCCCCGACCCCAATTCTAGTCATGGGCTCTCAGCTTCCTGCAAATTCCCATTTAGAGAAGGGCCATTCCCTTTCCAAGGCTGTCTCTGAAAGGCTCTGTCTAGCTTTCCCAGGACAGGCTCCCCGCTCACTGCTCTTTGAAGAACTGGCTCCCTCATCCACTTCCCCTTCTCCTGTCCCCGCACCTTGGTGAGCTTCTTGGAACCAGGCTTCAGGGTCACAGGTATCAGCAGTGCCAGCTCCTGCAGTTGGGTGGTGTGGTTTTTCTTCTGATTCCTGTTTTGGGACAAGATCCTGGGTTTCATTAGGACATCCAGAACTGAATTTGGGATCTGACCCCCAAATCTATTTTAGTGTTCCCCATCTCTAGGTTGTCCCCCACCGGCACTCCATGACACATAAGACAGAGTCCTAGGCTTCTTCTGGTCTCATTTTCCCTTAACTCCTGGACCTATTGGTCATCAAATCTTTTTGTTTGTTTGTTTGTTTTGTTTTTTGAGACAGGGTCTCACTATGTAGTTCAGGCTGGTCTTGAACTCACTTTGTAGCCCAGGCTGGCCTCAAACTCACAACGATCCTCCTGCCTCAGCCTCCCGAGTGCTGGGATTACAGGCGTGCGCCACCACGCCCAATTCGGTCCCCAAATCTTGCCTATTCCTCTTCCCATCCTTTCCCCCCACCCCCACAGCCTTTCTTTAGGGCATACTGATATCCACAAACCTTCCACCTGTCCTCCTCCATCCATACTCTGTAATTGTTTAGCTCAGCGGCAAAGCGCCTGCCTGGCAAGCGCAAGGTCGTGAGTTCGGTTCCCAGTACCGGAGAAAAACAAAAAAAAAAAACAAAAAAAAACAAAAACATCCATACTCTGTAAGAAGCAGGGTAAGCTTCCTGAAACACAAGTCTGACCAAGTCACTCTTCTTCAAATCCCTCAAGGTCATTCCATTCTTAAGTATCACGTTTATTTGTTTTTTAAGATTGGGTCCTGCTATGTAGTCCAGGCTGGCCCTGAACTCACTATGTAGTGTAGGTTGGTCTCAAACTCATAGCAATCCTCCTGTCTTACCCTCCTGAGTTCTGGGATTACAAGGCTGTGCCACTGCACCCAGCAAATATCAAGTTGAATTTTTTTTTTTTTTTTTTGGTCTTTTTGAGACAGGGTCTCACTATGCAGTTCAAGCTGGCCTTGAGCTCACTTTGTAGCCCAGGCTGGTCTTGAACTCGTGATGGTCCTCCTGCCTCAGCCTCTCGGGTGCTGGGATTACAGGTGTGCACCACCATGCCCAGCAAGTTGAACTTGTTAATACAGCTTCTAACATCTTTTCTCTTCCTAGCCTGGCCCATCTAACCACTCTGGTTTAATCCTTACTTTCACTCACTGGAATCAACTGACCCTCATTCCACAGGAAGAGGGAGGGACCACTAAACTCCCAGGCCCTGCGTTCACACACATCTCTGATCCCTGCACCAGGCTGTCACCTAGGTGGAAGAACCTCTGTATCCTCCATCCTTCTCCCCTAACACACGGCAACACAAAGATGCTGGAGTCCTTCCTCCAAAGGGCACACCACTGCCACTGCTTGCAACTCCTTCAGGGCTGTCTGAACACCTCTGTCATCACCAATCCCTATCCCACCTTCCTTCAGGGTCCACTTCAGTCACTTTCTCATCGTCTCTCAATGTCTGTAACACTTTGTGTCACTTGTAGTATGGCCAGACCAAAACTGCTCTCTTGATGACGGATATATTTTAGCTCCAATTTATACTCCTGAACTGACAATACCTGACTGCCAGGCCCTGCACAGGACCCTGTGGTGAAGGAACGGGATGATTCAGGCACTGCCCTTGAGGGCACATGGGGATAGTGTGGGAGACACACTTACTACTATCCTAACCAAACTCTGGATTCCTGAAATAAGTGTTATGGCTTATATGAAGATGTTCTTCAAGGCCAGCCTGAACTGCATGGCAAGACCCTGTCTCAAAAAAAAAGCCCCCAAGAGCCAGGCATGGTGGCGCATACCTGTAATGCCAATACTCGGGAGGCTGAGGCAGGAGGATCATTGTGAGTACGAGGCCAGCCTGGGCTATAAAAATGAGTTCAAGGCCAGCCTGAACTGCATAGTGAGACCCTGTCTCACAAAAACAAAACAAAACAAAGAAACAAACAAACAAAATAGCTAGGTGTGGTAGCACAGGCCTGTAATCCCATCACTCGGGAGGCTGAGGCAGGAGGATCCTTGGGAGTTCAAGGCCAGCCTGGGCTACATAAGTGAGTTTAAGGCCAACCTAAACTGCACAGTGAAACCCTGTCTCAAAAAGAGAAAGAAAGAAAGAAAGAAAGAAAGAAAGAAAGAAAGAAAGAAAGAAAGAAAGAAAGAAGGAAAGAAAGAAAGAAGGAAAGAAGGAAAGGAAGACCGGATCTGAATGTATACTTGTAATGTCAGCACACAGGAGGCTGAGGCAGGAAGACTGCTGCAAGTTTGAGGCCAGCCTGGGCTACATAGTAAGTTCAAGGCCAGCCTGAACTACATATAAAGACAAACTGAGCCCCCCAAAATCAATCAATCAATCAATCAATCAATTAATCAATCAATCTAGATGACCCGCAAGAGCCTCATGCACTCATAGGGGTAGTTTCTGGAAGATGACTGAATCTTGGAGGTCATAGCTTTCTTGCTGTTAGGAGGTGGGGTCTGGCTGGAAGGGGTGGGGCACTGGTGGTGTGACTTACCTCCCTCCCTAGCTCCTAGCTTTGCTCTGCTTCCTGGCTGCCATAACATAAGCAGCTTTCCTTCCCTCATCTCCTTCCCCCAAGCCTTGCTGCCTTGGAGCCAACTAACTGTGGACTGAAATCTCCAAAAACTATGAGCCCAAATAAAGCTCTCCTTTAAATTGTGGGTGTTGGGTATTGTGTCTCAGTGACTAAGGCAGAATCTTTTTCACCCATTCATTTAGCAATTATTGAGCACCTACTGTATGCCCGGAAGTATCACAGGTGACAAGGATAAACTTATAAAGAATATAGCCCCCCCCTTGGGAGGACATAGTTGGGGATAGTCTTTGACAAACTGCCACACTACAAAGTATAACATTATAACTACAACCAGGACAAGTGATATAATTTTGGGAGTATTACAAATGAAAATGTGGGATCTTTTATTCAGAATGAAGGATTTCTGGGCCAGGGCTGGGGATATAGCTCAGCGACATGGCACCTGCCTCGCAGGCACAGGGTCCTAAGTTCAATTTCTGGTTCAAAAAAAAAGAATTTCAGGGCTGGTGATACAGCTCAGTGGCACAGCACTTGACTGGCAAGTATGAGGTCCTGAGTTCAATTCCCAATACCAAAACAAACAAACAAAAAAACCCAACCAGAATTTCATCAGGACACGTGGCACACATCTGTAATCCCAGCACTTGGGAGGCAGAGACAGGAGGATTGCTGTGAATTTGAGACTAGCCTGAGCTACAAAGTGAGTTCAAGGCCAGCCTGACCTATATAGTGAGACTCTGCCTCAAAAAATAAAATAAAATAAAATAAAATAAAATAAAATAATAAGGGCCCTTGGAGTCAATTCTTAGTACTGCCAAAAGAAATAAATAAAGAAATACAGTAAATAAGGGCTGGGACTATAGCTCAGAATGAAAGCCCTGGGTTCAACCCCTAGTACTGGAGAGAGAGACAGAGACAGAGACAGAGACAGAGAGAGAGACACAGAGACAGAGAGGAGAGAGACAGAGAGATGGGGGCTGGATGTGGTGGCATATGACTGTAATCCCAGCACTTGGGAAGCTGAAGAAAGAGTATCCCTAAGAGTTCAAGGCCAGCCTGGGCTACACAGTGAGTTCAAGCCCAGCCTGAACTATGTAGTCAGACCCTGTCTCAAAACCACCCCTCCAAATAAAAAAGATGGACTGTGTAATCCTGAGTACTGAAAAAAAAAAAAAAATCAAGCAAGACAGATGAGAAGAAAACATGAGCTCCATCATTCGACCCTCCTAGGCACAAGGCCCAGTATGACTGCGTGCTCACACACCCACGAAGCTGGCCCTGATGAGGGTAAAGGAGAGGTGTTCCCTGGTGTTACAGAAGCGGAGAATGTCAAGCTGCCAAAGCGAGTACAACAGCGAGCTTTAACCTAATAAGTGAGGACCTAATCAGTGCGGGCTTTCCTGAGGAAGTACACATGGACAGACCTGTCCTGAAGGTGAAGAGGGAACGAAAACATTCCAGATGGAGGGAACATGCGCAAAGACCCCACAGCACGAGGAAGCATGGAGAATTCAAAAGAAAACTGAAGTGCCTGGAGCGCACAAAGCAGGAGTGCTGCGGGGGACACCCAGCTGGAGGAGGCAGAGGCCACATGAGGCTGGGGATCGCAGGCCCACAGTACAGAGGACTTTTGCCTTTATCCTAAGACCAAAGGGAAGCTGTTCAGGGCTCTATGTAGAGGACACCAACCTTAGTTCACAGTCTCAAAATCTTTATGAGCACAGGAGACCATACATATTGGTAACTGAACTAAGGAATTAAAGAAAAATAATCATCACTTGATCTCCATGACCTCCTCACGTCACAGAAACCATAACTTGCAGGGAAAGAGGGACTGAGGATTCTTTTTTTTTTTTTTTTAATCTGAGCTGGTTCAAGAACTCTTGGGCTCAAGTGATCTCCAGCATCAGTTTCCCCAGTAACCTGTGATTCTATCCTTAAAAGAAAAATTAGTGCTCACCTACAGTGTATGAAGTCCTGGATTAAATATGTACCATGAAAGGAAGGGAAGAAGGAAAGAAGGAAGACAGAGGGAAGGGAAAGGGAGGGAAACAGGGTGGGTAGACCTCTAAGCCTTTCTGGCCCTCACTTTTTTTTTTTTTTTTGGTTTTTTTGAGACAGGGTCTCGCTATGCAGTTCAGGCTGGCCTTGAGCTCACTTTGTAGCCCAGGCTGGCCTCAAACTCACAACGATCCTCCTGCCTCAGCCTCCTAAGTGCTGGGATTAGAGGAATGCGCCACCACATCCAGTTGGCTCTGATTTTTTGTTTTGCCCATCACTGTCATTTTGTCCTAGAAGGGCCCTTGGAGCCCCAGTGAGAAATGACAGAGAAGCACGGAAGAAAAATCATCCAAGTTTTTGTAAATTGAAGATGCTACCTGATCATTCCTAAGAGGGCTTCACATCAACTATAGTTCCTGAGTGTTTACTGTGGGTGTTTTGTTTTGTTTGCAGTACTGTGGATTAAACTCAGGGCACTGTACATGCTAGGCAGGTGCACTACCAGAGGTACATACCCAGCCTTTTTATTTTAAGACAGAGTCTCTCTGAGTGGCCCAGGCTAGTCTCTAACTTGTGATCCTCCTGCCTTAACCTTGATAGTAGCTGGGACTATAGCCATGTGCCACCACACCCAGCTTTTACTTTTGTTTTGCAAAATCCCTGAAGAACCTGGGAAAACATAGACATAGAAGAAAAATCAGAAGCAAAAGCTGACTGGGAACCTCAAAATCCTGGTACATACTGGGCAGCAGTTCTGAATAGTTACAACCTGGGCTTTGCCCTAAGGGCCTTCAGGACCTGGGTATTCCCTCCCAAAGTTACCTCTACAGATGCTTCTCAGGTTAGCTAATTTCTTTCCTCAGTCTATAATATTAATCCGCTAGTCCCCGCTCTGCCTTCTGGATCTGCAGGGAACAGATCAATTTAGCCACAGGGGTCCTCACCTGTTTTTCTAAACTGCCAAGTTTATTTCCTCCTTCAGGCCTTTCCTATTCCTTCTGACCAGAATATTCTTTGGCCCTAATCGTGGGTGGACAGGTGGGGGTGTTCTAGGGATCAAATACAGTTTTTGCACTGAGCTACATCACCAGCCATTTTTTTATTTTGAGTTGGTATCACTGAGTTGCTAAATTGGCCAGGCTGAGTTTGAACTTTAGACTTTCCTGCCTCAGCCTCCCAGATTGCTGGGATTACAAGCATATGGCAACATGCCTGCCTTTTTGCCTTGATTGCTGCATGGGTGGTTTCTTCTTTGTCATTCAAGCATTTAGTTTAAATCTAACCTCCTTTGAGAGGACTTTTGTAACCACCCAATCTACATAAGCACAGTCTTTATTACATCCCTCAATCATTTATCAGCATCTGATGCCTTACTTTTAAGTACTTATTATAAATTGCAAGAGAACAGGAATTTTTGCCCTTCCTGCTGTATCTCAGGCTGATTTATCCATTAGTTGCAGTAAGCTTGGTACCTAAGGCCTGTGACACTTTTGGGGGTTTGTGGAAATGTTTTTCTTTTAAAGTAGAAGAAAAATTGATATAAAAATCTGTGTTGAGCCGGGCATGGTGGCGCACGCCTGTAATCCCAGCACTCAGGAGGCTGAGGCAGGAGGATCGTTGTGAGTTCGAGACCAGCCTGGGCTACAAAGTGAGCTTAAGGCCAGCCTGAACTGCATAGCGAGACAATGTCTCAAAAAGACCAAAAAAAAAAAAAAAAAAAACAAAAAAAACAAACCCCAAATAAACAAAACTGTGTTATATTTGTAAATATCAACCCTACTGGGTTTTTTTGTTTGTTTTTTGAGACAGGTTCTCACTATGTAGTTCAAACCAGCCTTGAATTCACTGTGCAGCCAAAGTTAGCCTTGAACTGGCAGTAATCTTTCTGCCTCAGTCTCCAGAGGGCTGGCATTGTAGGTACCCACCACTTATCCCTGACTATTGTAATTTTCTTCTTAACGAAGGAAAGGAATCAAAGAGAAAAAGTTACTTATACGATGTATGGATCTTTTTTTGTGTGTGTGTGCTGGGAATCGGGACCTTGTACTTGCCAGGCGGGCGCTTGTGCTGCTGAGCTATATCCCCGGTCCCTGAGAAAAAGTTACTTAGGTCCCACAAGTCATAATATAACCCTGTTCTTACTGTTAGCTCCTAGAATCATGCCTGGCACTTAGCAGGTGTTCAATAAAAGACTGTTAAAGTAATGATGCTGCTTCTGTCTTATGATAGCCTCTGTCTTTTGAAACAGCAAATGGCGCCAGGCGTGGTGGTGCATGCCTGTAATCCCAGCACTCATGAGGCTGAGGCGGGCGGATCATTGCGAGTTCAAGACCAGCCTGGGCTACAAAGTGAGCTCAAAACCAGCCTGAACTGCATAGCGAGACCCTGTCTCAAAAAGACCAATAAATAAATAAATAAATAAAATCAAAAATAAATAAATAAAGCTAGTGTTGGTATGCTTGTCTAGCATGCATGTACAATGCCCTAGGCTCAATCTTCCCAAAAAGAACTGAATCCCACCACCCAATCTGCTCTAGCATGTGCAAGACTTAAGAAAAGTTAGCCTGACATGGTGCATGCCTGTAATTCAAGAACCCTTGGAGGCTGAGATGGGAGGACTGAAATTTCAACCCAGTGTGGGCAACTTAGTGAACTTTAAGTCCTACCTCAGCTTCCCAGGGTGCTGGGTTCAGGGGTGTGTGGCACCATATCTGGCCAAGATCCAGCTTTTGAACCAGATAAACTAGGATTCAAATTCTAGCTTTGACACTTGTGGTGTGACTTTGGGCAAGTCCTTCCATCTTTCTGAGTCCCCCCTTTTTTTTCTCACTCATAAAATAGAGGTGGCTAGGAAAAAAAGGGTCTTTCTGAAAGGTGTTTGGATAGTAGTTACAAGCGCCTGGCTGGCAAGCGCAAGGTCCTGAGCTCGAGTCCCAGTACCAAAAAAAAAAAATGGGTAGTAGTTGCCACATAGGTACTGCTATGAAATATCACCTCAAGAGAAGATGAACAGTCATTTGTCAGAATGATTTATAGGTAAGAAACGTTAGAGAATGGGGTATAGTACTATATGGGCTGATTATAGTTGAGAATGGCTGCTTTTACTTAACCAACACCCAAACCCCTCTTTTCTGTATTCTTTGGGCAACCACTCCCGCTCCTCTCTGGTGCCTATGTTTAAGAATGTTGACCTCATCTTCCCTTTCCCAGGAGAGGAGTGGAGAACTAAGAGCCTGTCAAGAGGAGTCACAGTGATTGGCTCAGGGTTTGGCCAATCAGAGTCACTCAATGCTGGCGTTGTCAAGCTGGCTGGAGAGAGACTCGAGCTACAAGGAAGCCAACATACACAACAGCAGAACCACGAGAGGCAAATTCCTGGCACTTGCTTAATCCCCCCCAAACAACCAAGTGTGACACCCCTAAATTTTGTGTTTAAATGATCCAACAAAACACCATTAGTACTTAAGCTACTGTTCTCTTAATTGCAACTAAGAACCTTTATTAATACTATTAAAGATCCCATTTCTAGAAAGAGGAAAGAGACCAATTGCTGGTGATGTCTGGGATTCCAGGAGGAATTGGCAGCAAAGTTAGGCAGTCTTCATTTTCTTCATGGTACTCCTTCTGAGCACCTAAACAGAAAGCCTGAACAAAGGAGATGCTTGGGGCTGGGGATTTAGCTCAGCGGCACAGCGCCTGCCTGGCAAGCGCAAGGTCGTGAGTTCGCTTCCCGGTACCGGAAAAACAAAACAAAACAAACAAAAAACAACAAAGGAGATGCTTAATTTTGGAGTTAATAAATCAATTAAGATAGCTGGATGGAAGGTCACTGGGGAGACCATAGGAATAAGATAAACTCTATTTGTCCTTTATCTAGATTTTGGAAGAAGGGAGAAATGATCCAAACTTCAATCTGTAAATCCCCTCTGTAAGAGTCCATGCATGAGGTCCTGAGTTTGATCCCCAGTACACACAAACATACAAAAATCCTGACATTTGGTAAGTGCTTGATGGATACATGAATGCATGCATGATTTAAAGAAAGGAAGGGCATTTAGGAAACTCAGAATGGGGGCTTGTTATAGCTCAGTGGTAGAGGGCCTGCCTACAAGCGTGCACAAGGCCCTGGATTCAATCCCCAGCACTGAAGAAAACACACTAAAAAAATCTGCGAATGTTAAAGTCTATAAGGACCTTAGAAGTGATCTTTGCCAATTATCTCAGAGCTCTCTGAGCTGGGAAATGGCAGGAATATCCTCTGCCACTTCCTTGTACCGTTGTAAGGATTAACAGATACTACACAATCAAAGGGCTTAGCAAAGAGTCTGGCAACCAGTAAATATTCAGTAAACATTATGTTATTATTATTCAAACAGAGTGGTTAGAACTGTGAGGGCTATAAAGGAAGTCATTACCTGTCACCAGGACCCAGGGAACTGGCTTTAGGCTGTTCAAAGGAACACAAGTGTCCACTGGAACCCAACATCTGCAAAAAGAAAAATGAATTATTTGGGACTCCAGAAGGAATGGGGTGGCTAGGCATAGTCGTGCACACCTATAACCCCAGTAGTTGGGAGGCTGAGGCAGGAGGATCGCTGTGAGTTCGAGGCCAGCCTGAGCTACAAAGTGAGTTCAAGGCCAGCCTGAACTGCATAGCAAGACCCTGTCTCAAAAAGACGAAACAAGGGGGCTGGGGATTTAGCTCAGCGGCAAAAGCGCCTGCCTGGCAAGCGCAAGGTC